CCAAGTCCCCATTAGTTACAATTCCTATCAAATTACTCCCTGATGTCACAGGAACCAAAGCAATAAAGGTGTCAAGGGGAGGGGAAAATGTGTTACTTTATCTATACCCCTCCAACCATCAAGCAGGTTGAAGCAACAACAAAGCAGGTCAACTTCTAGTGCCCTGTCTTTCCAAATTAGTAAAGTCCCCACAGACACCTTGGTATCCCAAAGGAATTTAAAGTGGGGGGAGAAGAAAAATTATGGGAATACTAACCTAAGGGCTCACATCCCAGATGGGGAATCACGCCTGAACAGTGTCAAAATATTGTGAGTGCTCAGTAAATTTCAGGTTCTGGACAAATCTCACAGCAGCCAGGCTCCAGAAGCCCCTCACAACTGAGCAACAGAAAGATGCCACTGACTATCATGGATCATTGTTTTAGTGATAATGGAAATTTAAAGTAAGGCAACAGTATGAAGAAAAAGGCAAAAGCTATCCATGGAAAGGAGTCTGGCCTGAATAGTAGCTTCAGGGGGCACACTCTGATAAAGAGGATCAGAGTGCCCAGCCCACAAAAGAACAGAGACCAGTCTTGTGCAGTGCTACAAGCTGGACTCTGCTTGACTGTGATCTCAGTCCTGGTTTCCCATCTCTGGAGGAATTTTCATGGCTTAAGGAGCTGTTCTCTTCCTATGAAATGATCATCTCTGTTTGTGGTGGTTTCAGTCATTTGACAATCTGTGTTTCCTGTGGTGTGTGTCAAAATTCGCTCAGAATAATAGATGGAGACTTCTAGGCACCACTCCAAGGAGGAAAGTTCTGAAACTAGACATTGTAAAAACTGGCAATGAGATTTCCTTGTGAATCCTGAGAATTACTTTACTCTGTCTTCATGTCTTCTTATTTGAAGGGGATGAGATGATAGGCTATGTAAATCTAGGGCTCATAAATCTTGTTCTGCCAACTTCTCTAAGTGAATAATATACATATGTCCAAAGTTTAAGGTATTAAAGGACACAAAAATAAAGGTCAAGCTGCTTTTGTGTTTAGATAGCTACTAGGCATCTGTAGGTCCAAACAAAGAGTCAGCAAGTTCTTGTGGGTTTTCTTTTTAACTTTTAGTAGTACACATTTGCAGTACATAATGATTACATTCACTGTAGGGGTTGGTGCATGTACATAACACATTGCATTTTCCTTCTTTTCCCCCATCCCCACACCCCCATTTTATTTTCCCAGCATCAAATTCATTTATTTATAAGACCTTACAAAGTTAGTTATCTTGTATACAGATTGAAAATCAGACTAATAGACCAGAGAACATATTAAACATGTAAGACAATTTTCCTAAGTCAAGGTACAAAATTAAGGTCGGTAATTTCAGCAAAACTTCTTTTAGGTCCTTGATCACCCAAGAAGAAAATGTAAGTTGTGCTTTTAATGAGTAACAGGTTAAGGGTACAAGAATTTGTTCAACATCAGTCCCTATGGTAGCTTCTGTCTACATCAGATGTACTTCTTTTTATATCTGAAAATGGGCTTGTATTATTACTGTTGTTGTTGTTGTTGTTTGTTGGGGGCCATGCTCTGTAACTCACATCTCACAGTCTCCAGGCTGTGTTACTCTGCCTGGGGCCCAGGGAAGTATGTGGAAGTCCACATGTCCTCTGGCTATGGTTGGAATGTGGCTAACCAGACACTCCTGAGGCAAGACAGCATCTCCTGAGGACAGTTGTCAATATACAGCCATTTTGCTGTAGAGAAAATCTGATTTTTCATTAACTTAATCCTTATCTACCCATTCTGTACAGTTGTTATTCCATGGCACACGTGCTACCATTCCCTCTGTACTTCTCACTGCTAATAAAAGTGGGGCAAACATGAAGTTTTATTCAAATCTGTCCACTAGAGGCAGGTCTCCTCCCATTCCCCCTTTATGTCTTGAAAATTGTCTGTATTTCTTTTATTTTTCATCATTCCCTCCAAAAGGTAGCTGAGGATCTGATCAGCCTTTGCTACTTATTGTTATTTTGGTACTAGGAATTTAATCTAGGCCCTTCACACTGAGATATACCTCCAACTCTTTTTCTAATGTTTTTCTTTTATTTTTTTGAAGACAAATTTTAACTAAGTGGTTGAGTTGCCCAGGCTGGCCTCAAACTTGGAATCCTGATGCCTCAGCTTGCTACTTGTTGTTATTTTGGTACTAGGAATTCAATCTAGCCCCCCTCACACTGAGATATATCTCCAGGTATTTTTCTAATTTTTTTTAGACAAGTTCTTACTAAGTGGTTGAAATGCCCAGGGTGGGCTCAAACTGGAAATCCTGATGTCTCAATTTCTAAGAGTGCTGGGAATATAGATGAGTGCCACAAATCCCAGCTTATTTTCCAGACTTTTAAGAGCTTTACTAAGCAATAAGTAATTTGAATATTTTGATGAGTTGCAACTAATATTATTATAGATGTTATCTAGCACAAAACTAAACACAACTTATTGTCTCATTTGTTCTTCACTTTTCTTCTTTTCCTACGTTTTTTTGGCTTAAATTTCTGTCATTATTCCACGTTGTCACTTGGCTTACTAAGTGACCTTGTTTTGTTATCTCTGTGATTGCCTTAGGGTGCATAGTACATCTTTAATTTACCTCCTTTACTGGTTTACTAATTTGTTCTTTTTGTGGTTACTTTCAGGTTCATAGTATGAATGTTTAACTTATCACAGCCTGTTTTCAAGTGATATTATACCATTTCACATGACATACAAGGACCTGACTACACTATATCCTAGGACTTTAGACCTTTGTTACCAAATACTTTATTTCTATATATGGTATAAACCTAACAAAATATTGTTACCCTTTTTGTTTTATCAATTAGGTATCTTTATAGAGGTTTAGGTAACAACAGCAGAAAATCTTGTGCATTTACTCATATAGTTTCCATTTCCAATCTTCATTCTTTTGTGTAGACCCAGATTTCCATCTTGTTCCTTCTGCCTTAAGGAACTTCCTTAATATGTCTTCTACATCTTTAATATGTTGTGTAAATGCACACATTGCATACATATACTTTTTTTGCAGCAACTACCCAGGTTTGGCTTAAATTTGTAATCTTCCTGATTTAGACTCCCAGAGTGCTGGGATTAGAGATGTACACCACCACACTTACCTGAGTAATTAATTTTTAATAAATTTTTATATATCAAAAGATATTTCAGCTGGATGTGATAACACTTCTCTGTAGACCCAGCATACTGGGAGGGTGAGATAGGAAAACCACAAGTGCAAGCTGAGTCTGGGCAATTTAGGAAGAACATATCTCAAAAATTTTTAAAGAAATTTATGAAAGACTTGGGAAGGCTCAGTGTGAAGGTCCTGAGTTCAATACCTGGTGCCAAAAGTAGAAAAAACCTCTCTGGTTTCTCTTTGTAAAAAAATTATTCCTATATAAAGTATATCATCAGCAAATAATGACAGTTTAACTTCTTCCTTTTCTATTGTTATTCCTTTTATTTCTTTCTCTTTTCTAATTGCTGTGGCTACTAGGGCTGGAGGTCCCATTTGACTCAGCTATTCCCCTGCTGGGTATTTACCCAAAAGAATTAAAAGAATCATACCACAGAGATATATGTGCACCCATGTTTATTGCAGCACAGTTTGTAATAGCTAAAGCTTGGAAACAGCCCAAGTGCCCATCAGCTGGAACCTGGATAAAGAAGGTGGGGATTTTTATAAAATGGAGTACTACTCAGCCATAAAGAACAAGAAACTTGAGTCATTTATAGCTAAATGGATGCATTTTGAGGCCATGCTCTTAAGTGAAATAAATAAGACACACATGTGTAAATATCAAATAGTTTCTTTAGCGTGAGAAACTGAGAGTGTAAATAAGGATTAAAAGGATTAATAACTAATAATTGATACTTTGAAATAGGAAAAGGTCCAAAGGGGTAGGGGTGGTGGGAGGAGAAGGGGAAAGGAAAGAATGGGAAGGAAAAATTATGAGAAAAGAAAAAAAATGGAAACGAAGTATGTAAATAGGGAAGAGTGGAGGGGTGAAGGGCACATATGTAATGGGAAAAAAATAAGAACCAAGATACATCATGTACAGGTACAACATCCAATGATAAATGTAAATGTATTGTACACCTAAAATATTCCAATAAAAATTTAAGCAAAAAAAAATATTGCTGTGCAAAGAATTCTAGGTCTGAAGTTTTGTAATTTCTTTCTTTTTCTTTTTAGTTTTTTGGGGAGTTACATGGGGTTTTTAGGGGATTTTCATTTCTTTTTTTGTTGTGTGTTTTTTTGTTTTTTACTTTTTGTTTTTGAGACACAGTCTTACTATGTAGTTCAAGCTGGCCTTGAACTCATTATGTATCCCAGGAAATCACTGCAATTCTTCTGCCTCAGCCTCCTGAATGTTTGGATTACAGGCATGCACCATCATGCCCAGCATGGAATTTCATTATTTTAAAAATAGTGTTCCACTGCTTTTTCTTATACTCTTTCTGATAGGAAATCTAATATTATCTTTATCTTTATTCCTCTTTACACACTGTGTCTTTTTTTCTTGATCTACATTTAAAATTTTGCTTTTCATATTTATTTTGAGTAATTTGTAGTTTTTTGTTTTTCTTTTCATGATTCTTTTTATTATTGCTTGATATTTTTGTCTATGTGTTTATAATTTCATTAAATGGGCAATTTTTCAGCATTTATTTCTTCAAAAACACTGGATCCTTGGTTTATGAACTTAATTTTTTTAAATGGTTTTATGACTTATGGGAAAATGGCTGTGTTTGTGTTTGTGTGGGAAGATTGACATGATTGTGTGTGTTACCCAATGCAGAGTTTGCGAAAGTGAACAAATTTTTGCTGACTGCTTTTGTTTGTGAAACAAACTATTTGCAAACAGAACCATTTGGGGACTAAGGTATTTTTCTGTATTTTCTGTGTTGTATTTTTCTGTCCTCATGAATCCCTGTTGTCTCTCAGAAACTCCAATTGCTCATCCAGGAGACCACTTGATGTGACAAGGCTCACTGGTGCTCTATTTATTTTACCTTAATTCTCTGTTTTCTCTGTGCTTTACTTTGAATAGCTTCTATCACTATGACTACAAGTTCACTGTGCTTTTCTCCATCAATATTCAAATTACCATGAATCCTATCTAGTGCACTTTCCATCTTAAATGCTCTAGGAGTTTTCAGCTCTAGAAATTTGATGTGCCTCTCATTCCAATCTTCCATATCTCTACTTAACTCTTTGAACATATGGAATTTAGTTATCAGAGCAGTTTTAATGTGTTACTCTGTTAATTCTAACTTCTGTCTTGGGTTTGACTGATATTTTTCCTCTTCATTCTGGGTCATATTTCTCTGCATCTTTGCAGGATAATTTTTACTTCAATTTCAGATATTGTGAGTTAAAGCTTCTTAAATGGCTGAATATTTGTATTCATATGAATAGTATTGAAATTCATTCTGAAATGCAAATATGTTATTTGGGAAACATTACCTCAGGCCTTGTTTGTAATATTTTTGCTGTGAGTTTTGGAAAGTGTTGAGTCTGCCACTAACTATTCTTCACCACTAGGTAAGACTTTTCTGAGTCCCAACAGTGCATGAATTGTAAACCTTTTTCAGTCTGGCTGATAAGAACAGGCATTTTTCCTTTGCCCTATATGTTCAATTGACACTATGTCCTGTAATTGTTGTTGCTGTCATTGGTTGTTGTTGCTGCCATTGGTTGTTGTTGTGGTGGTGGTGGTGCTACTTCTGTAGCTGTTGCTGTTGTTAAAGGTTCTATTTATCCCAACCTATCCTCAACCTCACTGCTGCCCAGGCTTGTATTGAACTGGCAGTGATCCTCCTGCCTCAGCCTCCTGAGTGCTAGGAGGACAGCTGTGCACCACCATGCTTTGCTATTTCCTGTAGTTCTTTCAAATGATTCATATCATACCTGAAGGTCATTTCCTCACACACATGCAATGAGCAGAATTGAGCAGCACATTACAAGAGGACCATCTGAAGAGTTCACAAATTCCCTCTATGTGCGGTTCTGAACCTCTCCTCTGTCCTGTCAATTCCAGTCATTTTTGTCCCCTCAGATACACCCATTCTCCTTGGTTCAGGGATTAACACTAGGCCCCCATGTGCTTCTTGCTTCTTGCACTGCAGCCTGGAAATCCTCCTAGGGCCATCAGCTGATGCCACTGCAGGGTATCTCTCTCATTTCCCACCTTTCAGAGATTATTGCCCTTTATTGCAAACTGATGTCCAGTTTCCTACAGACCATTTTTATGCATATCTTTTCCTTTTTATTGTTGTTTCTATGGGAAAATGGGTCTGCTCACTGTGACTTCACCTTGACCAAGAGATGCCATGCTTTTTTGTTTGTGTGGTGAGGATAGTGTGTGCTTTTGTGTGTGAGTCTACATGTTCATGTCCTATTTGTGCGTGGGCATGGGCGAGGGTATGGGCATGTGTGCATGCTATTTGTTGCCTGCAGATGATGGTGTCTTTTTCCTTCACCTCTCCTCTTTGAGGACCGCCATAGAAACAGAGATGTTAAAAGAAGCAGCCACAGCAGATGAGAAAGATAAGAATTTGTGAGACACAGAAGCAGGGGTGGAACAGGTGAAGAAAGGCAATAAGTTGTGATCTGGTGACATCATGACACAGCCAGGAGAGGTTGCCTCTTGGATTCCTGTCTTTGTGAGCTGGAGACTTTTCTCCTTGGCCCTTATGGTCTATGTTTCTCACTGTCATATGCTTTTCCTGCCTCTTGCAACTCTCTCCCTCTTTCTCCCTCCCCTTCCTCCTTCCTCCATCCTTCTTTCTTTTCCTGCTCATCCTCCTTTCTGCAGACTCTGAGCTCCAGGTATGCAGAGTGGGTCCAGTTGGTGGAGGTCTGCCAGGCTGTCATGTTTCAGTTCCATCTCCATCATCACTGTGAGTCTGCATCCTTCCTACCCCCAGCAGGGATGAGGCCACAATCACCCCATATGGGAATGAATGTGTCTATATCTTCCAGCCTCTCTCTTTCTTTCTCTTTTATTTAAAGTGGGAAACTGGGGCTAGGGGTGTAGCTCAGAGGCACAGTGCTTGCCTACCATGTGCAAAGGCATGGGTTCAAACATCATACAGATAAATAAATAAACAGTGAGAAATCAGCATCTTGCCTGCAAAGCCATGCAAATCACTTGCCACAACCAAAGATCCTGATCCAGCAGATGGGATAGGTGAGTCATCTCAAACACATAAATTGAGGCAAAGTCAAGGCTATATTGGAGTCTGAAAATTGAAGCTATCAGGACCTGCCTCTCAACCTATTTCTGTGACTCAAAGAAGGGCAACAAACTGCATCTGTTCAATCCTGACCTTGGAGTGGTGCCATCACAGACTTTCCTAAGCCAAGGACCTTGATCCTGCTGTGTTGAATCATCTGGCACTCAGCTTGGGTACTTGTTCCAGCCCTAATAGAAAGGCATAAAGTGCTTTGCACAGAATAATTCATTTTGGGGAAGAAAGCACACACAGGGTAAGAAATTCCCTAAGGATAATGTATATCTAAGAAATTAAAGTATGTGAACTGTAACTTCAGCCACATTTTAGAAAATTGTTCAATATTTTTGCCAAAACCTTGTAGTATGTGGGGGCCTCTCTATATGAGGATGACTTACTATTTTAGATTTTAAAAGCCATGCCTGTTAAGGAAAAACACAAACAAAAAAATCCCACCCAAATTTGTCATTCCTCATTCTGTATTCTTTATTCACTTTTTCAAGCTAATCTCTTTTGTTGTATAATCTGATTGTTAACTAGTCATGGAACAGTAAATAAATGCCTGTTTAATAAAGAACTCTGACCAAGGTTAAAAAAAGTTCCCTAAGGCTGGAAAGCAGGCAAGAGGTAGAATCAGGGGCCAAACCCAGTGTGGTTATAGAACTTCTGTTTTCAGCACTATGTTACCTGCCTCAGAGAGATGTGGAGACACAGATTTATTGGTTCAAGTGTTTGAATATAAACTGAATGCCCAGTATTTGATCTTCTTGATATTCCTTTGTATCATGGGTGGCTAGTGGATCCTCAGATTAATGGCCTCATAAAACCTGTTGGTAACTGGAGCTATAGTGTACTCATTGAGAAGTTAATCCCTTATAAGCAGTCACACAAGACTCAGCTGGTTAGTGAAAGCTTTGTAGCTGAGCAGTTTCTAAACAATACAGCCACTCAACTGGCATACCATGGATTATGTGAGCTAACTTCAACAATTCAGGAAGGAGAACTGTGTGTTCTTTCAGAATAACCATTTTAACACCATGACCAAATACAGAGTCCAACTGTATTTGTTAGCTACAGAACAGGGGTTTCTTACTGAAGAAACGTTGTTTGGGAAACCCTAGACAATGTAGGTGGTGATGAAAACTTCTGAGACTCAGAATTTCATCTGCAATTTCATCTCCTTCAGATCCTGGAACTGTACACAAAGAACAACAGTATTGTTACTAGGTGCTGCTGGGGCCAGCAGAGCTTTTCAGGTTCTTATTGTCCCATTCAATGAACCAGATGGAACAGTGAATGTGAATGATAAACATTTATTTAGGGGAAAAATGAGAAGAGAAGGAGAAGAAGCACAAAAAATGTGCTCAAGGAGAAAAGGGTGCTTTGAAAACAAAAGAGAGGATACGTACTGCCAACAGGACAGACTGTGGCAAGACCAAGAGGGCATTGGCACAAAGTCAATGCTGCTGTCCTTTTGTATCTTCTTTGGTTGTTGACCCAGGTGGCCCCACTTGATCTCACACTAGAACATTGGTATCAACTGTGAGGCTCAGCTTGTTCCCTGTGAGAACATCAGTATGGGGGCTGGGTTCAGCCTGATCTCATGTCAGGCATGGGAGCTGCTGCTCTGCAACTTGCTCACAAATCTGTTCACATGGCAGACCAGGTTGTGCCCAACCACTCCAGCCATATTACCATGTTCTACCATACCTCGGCATTAGTAGATCATGACTCTCTTATGGCACCATCTCTATGAGGAGAACAGCACAATAAAGATATCACTGGGGAACAAATCCTGAAAGAATAAGTGATTAGGAGCTGGCAGAGACAAGAGAAGCAAGACAAATGAGTTTGTCAGCTGTATCAACAGTAGGAACAGGGGGCATCTCAAAGCCACAGCAAGGCCAGTCAGGCAGGAGCATATCCATCAGGTAGAGCAGCCTCTCCATCTGCAATCAATGAAGGGAAACAAAAGGAACCAGAGAAAAAGATAAAGAGAAGGAAAAACAGCTATGTGATTTTTGTGACAAGCACTGGATTCTCTTGGAGCCATCTACAGTATATATGTTGAGAAAACCGAAAGCAGAAGGTAGAAAACTGATATAAGATGCTCTGTGTCTGATTTCCATCATATTTTTAGGGGAAAGATTTGCTGCTTTGGTACAATTATACTTTTGCAACTAACACAACACACTTCATGATCTGGGGAGGTTTCTTGTTTTCTTTTTACTGTGTACAGTGTATTAATACCCTTTAAATGAAACACCCTTTCTTATTTACACGGTTAAAGCCTGGATCACTCAGGATGGCATGGTGGTCTGGGAATCACCACTGTGAATTGGGAAACGTGCAGCAGCCCTTGGCTTCCCAGCACAGGGACAGCCCTCCCCAGGGGTATGAAGCAGTACTGGGCATGGTGAGCCCAAATTCGCACTTTGACTGGCTTGCTTCTTCAGTTTCATTTCAGAATCTAAATTAGAGTCTCCATTTAATTCTCTCCAAACTCTGTAGCCTCAGGTATCATTACTACTGGTGTGATAGCTCTGAGTAAAAAAAAAATACTTAATGACCATCATAATAACTACTTACTGAGTTTTAATTATGTGCTAAGTAATTCTTTCTAAATACAGTCACAGACTTAGGATGGTTCCACTTATGATTTTCAACTCTACCATGGTCCACAAAATTGAAGCTTGGAATTGTGACCATTTCCCAGGCTAGCACTATGCAGTATTACACTCAGCTCCTCATGAGTCACACAATCACAGGAAGAAGCAACTGGAGCCTGCAGTGTTCTGTGTCTGAGCTAGGGGGTCGGGTCAGATAGGTCAGGTGGGTTGAATGCATTGTCAACTGATGAGATCTTCAATTTATACTGAGTTCACTGGGCCAGGCCCACATCATAAGTTGAGGAGCATATACATTGCATTGGCTCCTCTGAGTGGACATGGTTCATAGGCCCATTGTGCAGAGGGAGAAAGAAGGTCCAGGAGGAAGGCATTTGTCCAGATCACCCCACTGGCAAGTGACAAAGCTGGGACTCAGCTCAGGTCTGCTGGCCCCAGAGACTATGCTCTCCCTATCCCGCTATTTCCAGGGTCACTTAGACACTGGCAGCTTTGGTCCTGTGCCACAGGGCACCACAATGCCCTCACTGCCCCACTCCATTCTCCATGACCTCAGCCCCAAGGGGCTCCTTGGTACAAATGGAGCCTTCAGGAGGAGCCTTGCCCCTCTGCCCTTCTCTGTGGGTCAGAACTACACTGTGTGATTCCACCTATACTCTCTGTTCCCCTTTTCCTAACATGAGCCACTTCTTGCTTTTCTGACTGGTGCTTTAGAAGACAGATATTGAACGCATGAGGAGGAGGAGGACGAGGAGTGCAGGTCCATCCTGACCACACTGAATCCAGACTGCCCTCAATCCATTAAGGACTGAAGATTGTACCAGGCCATGAAATCATCCAAAACTTAAGTTTTAAAAATATTTTCATTAATTAAAAACAAGCATTATCCAAGTTCTAAAGTAGCAGTACATTTATCCAAAATAATATTTTTTTCTATGATCAATTTTGTTACAATTATCTAAAACACAGACAGGTATGCAAACATTACCTAATATTTTTATCGAAACAGGTGGTAGTGTATGTGGAATGCAAATAAATGGTCAAAAATAATCGAGCACAGTAAGAGTGTAAAAGGAAGGAAACTCTCCTTGATTCTGGTTCTTTGATTCTATGTCCTACAATCCAGAGGTAAACTCCACTTATGGTTTCATGTTTATCCTTGTAGAATGCATCTAAATAAATACAAGCATAAATATAACCTTACATGCACAATTTACAAAGCTGGGTGATCCTAATGTCATATTGTATTTTGTGTTCCTGTAATAAAATGCCTGAGGCTGGGTACTCTTTAAAGAAATTTGCTCAGCTCATAGTTGGGGAAGCTGGGAATTTCAAGGTAAAGTGACCACACTGGTGAGGTCCTCTATTGGGTCCTAATTTGGTGATGGTATCCCAGAGCAGGAGGTGACATGACAGTGAGCTTTCACAAGGAGAGAGAGGGGACAAGAGGCCAGAAAGTGGCCAGGTTTGCTCCTGTGAATCATTCTGCTCTCCTGGAAAGAAATCTACTCAGCATTAGCATGAATCCCTTCCAAATGGTGCTTCCATGACCTAATCACCTTCCACTACACCCTGTTGAAGACCCACCCTTTCATAATACCATCTCTTTGGAGTCCAGCTTCCGCAACATGGACTCTTGGGAGCCAATCCACAACCAAACCCTAGCACCGAGTCACCTACTATTCAATTAGGGCTTTACTTTCTCCCAATACTATTGGTTGAGCCCAAGGATTTCCAATTGAACTATTTTGGTAGCCCATTTAAAAAAACTTATTTATTGGTACATTTAACATAAACAGCCTAATGACATTCATCTTTGGAAATATGCACCTTTACATAATCCATCTTTGTTCTTATTTTTCCCCATTCCTTTGCCCTTCCTTCAAACACTCTATCCATCCCTATCTACAAAAACTTTGTTTGCATTTCTTCATTTTCTCATGTTAATTCCATTCCCTTCTTTCTTTTCCCCTACCCTTCCCACTGACCCTCCTCCTTTGCTCCTTTTCTTCCTGTTCCACATTATCTATTTTACCTTTTCTATGTTATTTACACTTTCAGTTTCTCACACTAGAGAAAGTATTTGGCATTTACATGTGTGTCTTATTTATTTCACTTGAGTATCTCCTCAATGTGCATCCATTTACCTATAAATCTCTCTAGTTTCTTATTCTTTATGGCTGAGTAATACTCCATTTAATAAAACAACCACATTTTCTTTATTCAGTCTCCAGTTGATGGGCATTTGGGCTGTTTCCAAGTTTTAGCTATTAAAAACTGTGCTGCTATGAAAATGGGTGCACATATATCACTGGGGTATGATTCTTTTAATTCTTTGGGGAAGATACCGAGCAGGGGAATATCTGGGTAAAATGGGACTTCCAATCCTAGTTCTTTGAGGTATCTCCATACTGATTTCCACAGTGGTTGCAGCAGTCTATACTCCCACCAGCAGTGGAGCAGGATTCCTCTTTCCCCACAACCACACCAGCCTTCATTATTGGCTGATTTCATGTTAGCAGCCATTCTTTCTGGGGTGAGGTGGAACCTCAGTGTTGTTTTCATTTGCATCTTTTGAATGACTAGTGATGCTGAACATTTTTTCATTTTATTTGCTATTTCTACTTCTTTGTCTGAGAAATGTCTGTTCATTTCAGATGCCAATTTTTGGATTGGGTCTTTAAATTTGGGAGGTCTGAGTTTGTTAAATTCTTCATATATTCTAGATGGCAGACCCTTGTCTGAAGAACAGCTGGTGAAAATTTTTTCCCACATTGTGGGTAGACTCTTCACACTGTTGGTGTTTTCTCTTGCTGTGCAGAAGCTTTTTAGTAAGAAGAGATCCACTCATTGATTGTGTTAATACATGTTCAACTGAAGTTTTGTTCATAAAATCTTTTCCTACACCAGTGTCTTAAAGAGTTCTACCTAACCTCTGTTTAAGCCAGTTCAGCATTTGTTTTAATATTTAGATCTTTAATCCATTTTGATTTTAGCTTAGAGCATGGTGAGAGACATAAGTCTAGTTTCAATCTTTGACAAGTTGAAACCCAATTTTTCCAGCACCATTTTTTAAACAGGCTATCTTTCCTCCAGTGAGGGTGTTTGTCTACTTTGTCGAAGATGAGGT